ATTCTACAGATGTCTGATAAAATTGTTTGCTGTTTCGATAAATCGTTCATGATGTCCATAGAATCTGTCTCATTATACAAATTACATGTGCAGATGCTTAATGTAAAATGCATTTCTCAGTTTGACAGCACTAAGTGTATTTGTATTCCATCTTAGTAATAATGATCTTATTTGTAACAAAATATGAAAAAATATTTTGGCCAAGACTGTAAATATATATGAAAGTCCATATTTTTAATACTATAGCATACATTAACTGTAAATAGGCGATCAAATCAGCAGTATATAACAACAATAATATTAATACAAATCAAATCCACCTCGGAAAGACTAACTTGAGGTACTTGTCTTGAACAATTTTTTCAAGAGAAAGGGAGGAGGATGGTAGTAAGTAATTATTACGGAACTATTAAGGTAAGAGTCTATAGTTCTTTTTAACATCACTTTGTAATAATTATTAAAAGAAAGGATGGAGGTTGGGAGATTGTAGAAATATAGGGTAATTCATTTGTACTTTAAGGTTATTTTATATATATAAATATTAAGGGTACCAAGCCGTCTCCAGCCATTATTAATGGTACCTGTCTTCCCACAGACAGCGAAGTGCTATAGGAGTTGGGACGTTGTGGGTTCAAGAACTCAACTCTTAACCATTAACTGATGCTCCATAGTTGCTGACTAGTTTGAATCTTTACTGGATATCCCTAACGCGTTTGGGAGCTATAGCCACACACATTTTCCTCTAAGACTAATGATGATGACAAGGGCTGGTAATAAAAAATGTCTGTCGAGTCTCATTATGAACGTTTTTTTTATTCTGTATGCACACACACATAAGTATATATATATATATATATATATAGTGATCATATAATGATCAAGACTTGAAAACACATATCATAATGCCAACAATTTTGTACTTTACATCTATCTTTGAATTACAATAAATTAGGACAGAAATCAAGTAAGTATCTTAGCGTTCCTCAGATCATTATTCACATACAATCGTAATTCTAATTTTACATCTTTTTTTCAGCTTATAGAACAATGAGATGTATTAATTTTAGATCTCCTTACCCTACACCTCTACATCCACTGTTAGATGCTATACAAGTATAAATATAACAGTTAACGCTGGTTTATAAACAAAAGATCTGTGAACGGGATCATACCTTTCCTGGTGCACCTGGAGCTAATCTTTTTTCGAACTCAAATTTTGCAAGGGTTTTGTTTAGTCCTTTAAATAACTCCACCTCATTATCTCTGGGGAAAGAATCTGAAAACAAAATGTGAGAATGGAAGTCTTAAAAGTTATTGTTCAGTTTACGTCAAATCGTTAAGTATAAAGGTTAAAACGAGAAGTACAGATATATCGTAACAGTTTACTTATCCATTCGTATTGTTTCTGACCATCCTTGTTGCTTGTGGCTACAGGAGATCAAAAGGCTTGATCCTCTTGTTGCAATTTTAGTAGAAGTATGGTAACTTATTGGTGCAGATGGCGTCTAAAATTGGATTCTTCTGTAAGTATTACATGCAAGTCTTTCCTGCCCATATTTTTTAGCAGTTTTCCACAATTAAGAAAACAAAGCAAGTTATAGAATATCAAAGAAATAGACACTTTCCAAGTCAACATATCATTTACTCTAAGTGATGCAAGTACAAACAGGGGTTCATATTACACATTTTTCAGACACTTTCATGACTTCTTTGACTTGAATTGTTCAACAGGGTATGAAAAACGAAGGACAACATTTATTTAAGTGTTTTGGGAAGAAAACCCCCATCAGTAGAAACTACGCTGCAGTGTGACTGTCCACAACCAGGACATCACAAATAAAACCAAAGGACAACATTTATTTAAGTGTTTTGGGAAGAAAACCCCCCATCAGTAGAAACTACGCTGCAGTGTGACTGTCCACAACCGGGACATCACAAATAAAACCATTTGTTGTGGGTAAAAGGCCGTTAAACAAAGGTACTTATTGATAGATTGTTTAGGCAGAGTATTCGTGATTAAACTTAGTTGAATGGACGGCAACTGCTTGTTGTAGAAACACAAGTGTAGAGGACGACGTTTCTTCATGTCCTGAAGACGAAAAGCGAAAGACTCTCGAAACGTCGTCCTCTACACTTGTATTTTTACAACAGGCAATTGCCGCCCATTTAACTAAGTTTCAAAGGCACTCATCTTCCTGTCATTATCATGAACCGTGAATATCCCTTTGTACCAAATTTCAAAGGCACTCATCTTCCTGTCATTATCATGAACCATGAATATCCTTTGCACTAAGTTTCAAAGGCCCTCATTTTCCTGTCATTATCATGAACCGTGAATATCCCTTTGCATTAAGCTTCAAAGGCACTCATCTTCCTGTCATTATCATTAACCGTGAATATCCTTTGCACTAAGTTTCAAAGGCACTCATTTTCCTGTCATTATCATGAACCGTGAATATCTCTTTGCACTAAGCTTCAAAGGCACTCATCTTCCTGTCATTATCATGAATCGTGAATGTACCTTTGTATGCCAATATTTTCGAGCAGTTTAATCAGTGTGTTTCTGACTATTTTAAACTTGCAATACAAGAACTATTTCTTCATAAAACATGTTCTAGAGAAGCTTATTAACAAATAACATCTGTTTGATTCTAAAGAGCGTAAGCTTGCTATTAGTCTGTGTCACATAACTTCCTAACTTATATGTCTTGTAGTGGTAGTATTAATATAACGGTGAGATGATATAGTACCTTTATTTCTTTCATACTGATATGAGAAATAAATACTTTAAGTACTGATAAAAAATAACAGGCTGTTGTAGAAAGCTATGATCTTTTTTTTTAAATTAACCTTAGCAATAGCACAGAATCACTTTGTTTATTTTGTAAATTTTCATTCCTTGAGGAATAAAGATTGTGTACTTACAAAAAATCAGACATTCTCTAAGCATACTAGTTTTATTAGTCTCCAGTTTAAAGTGTTACATTGTATTCTTATCCAGTGAAACAGATTTGTTGGAAAATACCTACTTGAAGGATGAATCCACGATGGATAACACGTGGCGCACCCTTGTGACGTGGTGTTATAGGCGATTGAATATAATTCTCCATTTTGAGTTCCATACGCAAAAACACTCATGCTGTCGCCGTAATACCTCATATCCATACTGTTGGCCAATGAACTACAAGTAATGAAGGAAAAATGTTTCATGAACGTTAAACGCTTGTTACTGTCTAAAGTAAAATATAGTTTCTACGTGCTTTATTTGTTGCATAACGTCAAGAACTACCAGTTAATATAAGACTTTTTAAAACAGCACTGAACTGAAGAATGGAATCTAGTTCATGAAGAAACTAAAGAAATTAAATAAACAGCTTAATGAGAAAACTCAGGGCCGCCGCTAGATGGTGCTGGGGTGGGATGTGCACCCCCAAGTTTCACTTTGGCTTACTCTCTCTAGCGTTAAAAAAATCTTATTATCAATTTCAAAGGGAGAGGAACTAGAGCCTCGCCTGGAAAAACCCTTTCGGGTTTATGTGCTACAGTTTTTTTTTCTATCATATTTTACAGAAGAAAGATGAAAATCTTTACTTGAAATAGCCTGAAGACCTAAGCTAAAATCCCAGCCAATTTTGACGTTTAACTTCGGAATATTAAATTTTTCATGCTACATATATAATGTTTTGGTATTGATAGAAAGCGTTGTGTGGTAGGTTTAAAATATTATTTTTACATGTCTTTGAAATAAAAACCGTAATGGTCTGGTTAAGAAAAATGTACAAAGAACCAGCTACAGTCTATTGTGATTTTATCACAAATATTGGACCTATCAGTAGAAATCGCAATTATTTACAATAATTATGCTATGCACAACTGTTATATTCTTTAAGAATGATTGATATATTCATCTGCCGGTATTTTGGTAGTAAATAATTTAGATGTTATTTATCGTCTCAGTTAGATATCATTTTGGGTAAGTTTACTTGCCACATCTGCACTTAACATAGCGATACTATATCTTCACAGAACGTACTCAACATTTAAAAACATATAGTTTTGATAATATGCAAACAACTCCCTCCTGTGGCACAGCGATACATCTGCGGACGCTAGAAGCCGGGTTTCGATATCCGTGGTGGACAGAGCACAGACAGCCCATTGTGTAACGTTGTGCTTAATTACAAAACAAAGAAATAAACAATATGCAAACAACGATTCACTGAGTCTCAGTCAGCAATCAGTTATTCGTTTCCAAAAAAAAAGAAAGAAGCAAACTGATGTAGGAAAACCTTACAAGTACTTCAACGGAATAAAAAACAAATGTATGTACTCGGGAATCAAGTCTAAAATAAATACGAATGTTTATAACAATTATTTTTTCTGTAAGACTATTGTAATAATTTTGAGATCTTATGCGTTTATTAAAGGAGACATATATCTCATCATGCCTCTAAGTTTTTATAGCTAATTATTTGCATAAAACTTAGAAAAAAAAGGGATAGCTTTATACATTACCTGATAATTCTTTGCTGACCTTTTAAACTTTCTCCAATGGCTCTTGTATCCATAATGACAAACACGTCATGAGGGGTTTCACATTTAGAAGCTGTGAAGATTTTCAAAATTACTATTTTGGATTATGCAATAAGTTTAGTATTAAAAATAAATTGTTTCAAAAGAAAGATTTGTTTTCAGTTTAAAACAAAATGGTTCATTCGCACAGAATAATTTGTGTCATAATGTAAAAACAAACAAACAAACAAGCTTATGAATTTTAATTTTATGTAGCTAATTCATATTTGGTTATTGTTTTAACATAAAAAAGTGTAGTAGTTCTAAATCTGTGCACGTATTTATAATATTTTCTAAATTATCTTAGCTTGCCCCCACCCATCAGTAGCTCAGCGGTAAACTTGAGGGCTTACACGCTAAAAATCTGGTTTCGATATTTGTGGTGGGCTTAACGCCAAGAACCACCTGTTAACATTCGATTTTTTAAAACTGTACTAACATGCAGAATGGAGTCTAAGCACTCATGAAGCAACTGAAAAAACAAAACAAAATACAACTTAATGAGAAAACCCTTTCGGGTTTATGTTTCACAGTCTTTTTGCCTATCATATTTCTCAAAAGAAGGATAAAAATATAAAGCAAATAATTATCTTAGCATTCAGTAAGCCTTAACAACAAAAAAAGTAAAATAAAAAGATAATATTTCTGAAGCAAAAATAATTTATCTGATAATTTAATTCATTGTTTTCACAGAAGAAACAACTCTTTTTTTTTTGGCAATCAAATATTTCAAAAAGGAGGATGTATCATTTATTATCACAAAGTACACTCTGTAACCTTAGGTACAGTACAATATATTCTGCTCGAAAAGACTAAGAAAGCTCACTAGAAATAATCTCTTCTCTTATTAGAGGTCAAAGCTACACGAGGGCTATCTGCGCTAACCGTCCCTAATTTAGCAGTGATAGACTAGAGGGAAGGCAGCTAATCATCACCACCCACTGCCAACTCTGGGGTTACTCTTATACAACGAATAGTGGGATTGACCGTCTTAGTATAACTCCCTCATGGCTGAAAGGACGAGCATGTTCGGCGACAAAGATTCGAACCCGCGACCCAAAGATTGCGAGTCGAGCGCCCTAACCACCAAGCCTAGAGATCAGGGAAAGTGAAAAAAAAAATAGCAACAACGTACTTGTAACTAAAAAAAATGATGAAGATCAAATTCTTACATTTTAATATAAGTCAAAGAGAGGGATAAATGCAAGTAAAACTATATAATGTTTGAATGCAACAAAGAGACAAATAATTCGTCTGATCTACTTGTTAGGACAGTAAAGAACTGTTGAAGAATGGTATTTTACCCATTACCTTGATATATACGTCAGGCATCACATTCATCATATCTGGTAAATTTTACTTATGTCCAAGACACTGATTCCACTTTGATTATAAACTGTTAACATTATTTTAAAATGTACAAAACGTAGACAGCAGAAATCAGGTTTATACAAGAAGATGATGTCAAATGGGTTTAAATTGAAAACAAAACTCTGTAAAATCAACACATTTACGTAGATATGTAATAACTATATATTTTATAAGCCTATTTGTCTGTTTCTACATACGGAAATTTAGTTGAAGAATTTTCACTCTTTTGATTTCAACAAATATTTTCAAAATTCGAAAAATATTCTGTTATTTAAAATAATGTTCTGTTAAACTTTTGCTTCTAACGAAACAGTACTTCTCTGAACCTCGGATGCTAGTTGTTTTGATGTGTTTTTTAATCTTAGTTTTACTTGTATATCTCAATTTACTTACCTTTCTGAGTGATCAAACTTGACTTTTGGCATTCCCCATCTAAAAAATTAGAAATATGTTTCTTAAAATATATATTTAGAAAACTCTAAGCGTTTATTTCAAAAATTATTGGTATTATTAAATTTTTTACACATTTGTTAAGTAAAAATAGTATTATTGCCATCACATGGAGTTACTATATTATCAAAACGTGGGAATAAAATTTTTCAGCCAAAATCAGTTGAAAAATGAAAAGAAAATAAGTAGAGTGGACATTGAACATATCCTTTAAAGCTAAAAACAAAATCCTGTACCTTCCACTGATTTACAGACGAACAAACACGATTTAAAGCGCATTATTAAAAAAAAGGGGGAATTTTCATAATAATACCAATGTTATATTACTTTTAGTTTTCTTTGTGTCGTGTCATTTCTTTTGGTGTAGTTTTATAATTATATCTTGCATCCTTATAAATGTATCACTTTCAGCTGATATACAGAAGATTGATTACATTATATTAAAACGACTTTGATTATGCAAATCAGTAAGCCACGTGACAACCACAGCCGATATTAAGTCGCAGTGGAATGGCATGTATCAGAACCACATTTCTACGTTGTACGGCGTTACGTAGACAGTGTTATACCAATGAAAACTGATTGCTTTGGGGAAAGGAATGTAACAGTTTTTTTTTTCTCGATCCTAAATTTTCAAACACTCAATTCATAAAGATGTGTTCAGGTCAGGAGTTTACAATTTCCAAGTCAGGGATAGCCTTTGTAATGACATTGAAAACAAAGGAATATGGACCAACTCGAGGCACCTGCCGTGGTCAGCAAGGTTTTGTATCTTGTAAAGGTTGAGAATCCACGAACTCAAAGGTCAGTGACAAAATCCGTTCTCGTACCCCAGACATAATCAAGAAGGATCTCCGTCTGGAAAAGCCACACATGTTTCGTGTACGCATGTTGCTTTCACTCTTCAAGCAACTGGGGAGTGAAACAGTATTCATGTTATTCCATAAGAAGACATACCGATCAACCGTTTGGATGTATGAGTGATTGGACTGTAGAAACGGGCACTGTTAAACTCAAACTGGATAGATGGCTTAGGGAAAATGTGCAAAAAGGAAGGAGGTTCATTGGATAGAGCCTTTTGCAACAAAAATTACGCTGCAGGACTATTGACGAGGTATTGTTATTGTTGGTTAAATTTTGTGTAAAACTACTCAAGGTCTCTCTGCGTTAGTCGTCCCTGGTTTGGAAATGACAAACAATAGGGAAGACAGCCAGTTAGCATCCCACATCGCCAACTAGTGGCATACTCTATTCAAACAGTCGCTCTTATAACATACCTACAACCCAAAAGAGTGGAGCGTAATGTTTTTGCCGATAGTAACGGGGCGCAACCACGGAACTTAAATTGGAATACATGGTAGTAGATAGTATATTACATGGTAGTAGATAGTATATTACATAGTAGTAGATAGTATATTACATGGTAGTAGATAGTATATTACATAATATATTACATGGTAGTAAATAGTATATTACATGGTAGTAGATAGTATATTACATGGTAGTAGATAGTATATTACATGGTAGTAGATAGTATATTACATAATATATTACATGGTAGTAAATAGTATATTACATGGTAGTAGACAGTATATTACATGGTAGTAGATAGTATATTACATGGTAATAGATAGTATATTACATGGTAGTAGATAGTATATTACATGGTAGTAGATAGTATATTACATGGTAGTAGATAGTATATTACATTGTAGTATATTACCGGATGAAGCGATATGGAGCGTAACGACGACGTGAAACTCGAAAATCGTTTTAATGTAACGTACCAAATCCTGTGAATATGCGAGACCTAAGCAACTCTATTTATAATATTACAGAAAGATATCGTTTGAATTCAGTCAGCCGTAAAACCCTCGTTTAAACTACCAAAACGATTATTCTGAATGTTATTATATACAAAAATCAATAAGAGTTTACTTCATTCTGAAAGCTATTTTGAAATAACAAAACAAATGTTTCAATGCTGTTATACAGAAACAATTAATCTTGCTAAAACAATTTGTTATACGTTACTTAGCTGTATAAGAGATGATTAAAATAAAATAACAACAATATAAGAATATAATCCTATAAACAAAAGCTGAATAAAATTTGGTGAATCACTCATAATGAAAGTGGGTTTTTGTGTCTGTTTTCAATTAATAAATAGTTTCATTTAAATTACACATTTTTTAATACAAAAAGGGGACATGGATAAACGTTTCGGAATTTATCAGATTTCATCTTCAGTATCTAAAGCAGAATAAAATGAATTTACATCAGTCTGTATACATTTTCAAAGTACAGTTGCTAAATATAACGATAATTAAACAAATAAAATACTAAACAGTAATCATGGGGAGAAAGTACAGCAAGAAAACACAACGAAAAAAAAACGAAAAATCAGTAATACGAACATCAATAAACAATGTTGTTTATCATAAGTGTCGTAATCTTGTTTATAATCAAGATATTAGGCGTTTTAGATAAACATACTTACCATTTCCAGATTCAATGATGTAACTTTTCTTACTATCAAATATACTTAAGCTCTTCGATACTTTCTTGGAAATCTCTTCTTCATTCATCACCATGTTTTTTAAATTGCTAAATATTAATGCATACTTCTCAGCTTCTTCTTTTAAAGTAATGGTCAATGTTCCAAGTACGTCACCTCTTTTGCAGAAGTTGTATTCGTTAGCACTGGGTAACCCAGTGTAGCTATAGTATGATCTGAGTAATTGACTTAGCTTCAACCCACTTCTGAGGTCGCTCCTATCCTTCAGCAGAGAACCAATAATTAGACCTAAACATATGGATATTAGATAACTCATTGAGAGAGAAACAGCACAGAGAAAAAAAATAGCAAAAATAATAATAATACCATAAAATAAATGATTGATGACAATGTCCAAAAAGCTATTCCTCTAAGGTATAACATTAAAGTATGTAGGTCACTTTGTTATTATGTATTTATATTATCGCTTGACTTTAAATTATGACATTATTTGATACCATGGCAATACCTCTGATCTATCACTGTATGAACATTTACAAGAAAAAGAGAAAAATATTTTCACTATCACTATATCGATGTTTACTAGAAAAAGAGGAAGACCTTTTCACTATCACTGTATGAAAACTATATGTTGAGAGCATGCCTGCTTACCGTCAACAGCTCCTCTTAGAAGAGAATAAGACGCCCAGTGTAATTGTTTTTCTAACTGATATTCTGTTGTACAGATAGTTGAATTCCATTTACCTCCTGGAATATCATTATAGGTTGTGGGATTCGATTCATCTTCTCTGAATTGCGCAAGTACTAAAGTTTCTAGAAAAAAAGAAAATTTTGAGGTATTTCAAGCATTTATTTTCCAATAATATGAGCAGTGAACGTTGAACTTTCTGAGTGTTAAAGTATACTACTCATTCCTAAGCTATATTTCAAGTTAACAAGAAGAAGGCATAATTCATTCTTATTATACAGTATTTAAAAATTCTCAAGCTTTTCAGGACAATCAATATTTAGGAGTTTCTGTTTTGTGAGTTAAGTATTCCACTTGACTTAGAATTATGAAAGCGAATTGACAAATAGTTCGAGTGAGATTTAAATTTTCACACGTCTTGAATGACAGATTTTATTTCAATCTTGAACAGACGTTTTCCATCACATAACAGAAACTATTCTGACAGTGGGAATAGTGTAACTAAATCAATGTTGTTGTTTTATATATTTTCTAATTGAAAAAAACTTCCAAATAACCAAAGAAATCGTTTTTAGTAACGATTATTCTAATTATACAAAAAACAGTAATAGTGCATTGTAATAAAATCTTTTATAGTACCAAAGATAGTGACGTTAAAATGTTTCATGCTATCCCTATTAGCCCCCCAGTAGTACAGCGGTATGTCTGCGGACTTACAACGCTAGAAACCGGGTTTCGATACCCGTGGTGGGCAGAGCACAGATAGCCCATTGTGTAGCTTTGTGCATAATTACAAACAAACAAACTATGCCTATTGAGGTTGGTAAAAACCTCCAAACGCTTATGAATAAATCAGAATACGCATAAAGAAGTATTCACAGGACATTTACAACAAAACTATAAGAAGTAAAAAAAAAAAAGAAAAGTATTCTGCACTCATTATACTTGAAGTGTTCTACAAAGTTTCCTTCAGCGTTACTCATTATACTTGAAGTGTTCTACAAAGTTTCCTTCAGCGTTACTTTCGATTACAGCAAGAAAAAAAATCTTGATTAATACACAGGGTTAGTTACAGGTTATTGAAAGACATGTAAATTAGCTACCATTTTTCTTTCTAATATTTGATTGGTTCTGGAATTAAGGTCATGCAATAGACTAGTATAGGTTTTATATGAATGCAATCACGCTAACAGGGCTTATAAAATTTCTACAAATCTCGATCTGTGACTGAAGGGATGTGACCATTGTTAACGAAGAGAAATATTCATGTAGAAAAATAAAGAGTCAAAGGTATAACATTTAAAAAAGGATATTTTCAGTGTTCACTATGAAAGAACACATTACTCACCTTGATCTTCGTTTAGAACAACAATGGGAGCTGAAAACACATTTTTATCCTTTCCAACACTATTGTCCTCGAAGACTGTGATTATGAGAGGGATTCTCGCAACCCAAAAAGCGGTTGTAACGAAGCTGGATGACATAACTAATATTCGCGTAGATAGCGCAAAAATGTGATAGAAGCTTAACTTGATGATATTGTTACGTCTCCGTTCGTTCGTTAATTTTCCGTAAATTCTTTCCGACTAAACTTTAGCGACACAAGTCCTTTCTTAAATAAAACTGGTTTATTCTTTCCGAATACAACTTTACGATACACTTAATTTCAACAGTCGCTCTATAACAAACGTCTCACGAGCTCGACTTCAACAATACTCCATTCAACTACACACTCTCTGACTGCAGTTCAATTACTCATTACCTCTCCGTCGCTTCGTGGCCGGTCTTATATATACAAGACTACACTATATCTAGAAAGATCACGAGATTTAAGGAAAAGACGTGAAAGTTCGAGAATGACGTGGCGTGATACTAGTCACGTGACCTCGATGTCGTAACAATATATTTCTAGAGGAAAAGATGTTTGTGAACAACTTCCGTCATAATTACAGTCCTGATTTTGTTAAAACTTGTTTAATCATTTTATGTTTCATTTTAAATATGATGTTGCAGTGTGATAGGAAATAAATGTTTTTGGAGAAACAAGATGAAGTAGGCTTAGTTAAATGATTTTGCTCTCGAACGTACTAAGTTTTGTTTCACCGATGCAGTCGCTGTGATAGGCCTTGTTTATATTAAACCTTATCGTCCTGAGTAACTACTTGAACGGGCAAAGATATCATCGAATAGAAATGTACAATAAAACTGTTATAAATTTTATTACCTGCAATAAATCAGATTCTCTGATTAAAAACTAAAAACAACAGTCTGCTTGTTTATAATTTTTTTTTTACAGTAAAAAGTAATTTTTATTGTACGCCAGTGATTGCAAACAGTGAAACTACGTGTGGTGTTTTCGAATCAAAACAAAGATACAATTTTGAATTTAAAAAAGTTTCTGAAAATGTTTTATAAGGATGTAGGAAGACAAAAGATTAGTAATTAAAATATACGACAAAGGTAAGCATTTTCAATTGTTTTTAAATAAACATATCACAATGAAATATTTTTGAATTTTCAAAGATGCGAATTCACACAAAAGTTACTTATGAGAATAAGATACTATATTTGCAGAAGTCACATAACACGTTGAAAATTTATTTGCAGTTTCAAACTATTTCATCCACTAATTTTGTTTTGCAATGTAAAAATGTTTAAAACAAACCATACAACAGTTACATTACAGCCATTACCTTCAAACGCATGCCCGTCAAGCTACACGATGCGTTATTTGTTCTTAGTTTGTTTAAACGTGTAAGTTAAAGTCATAAACCTAAAACTTTAACAAGTTTATAAAAAGCTGCACAAGAAAAGTTAGACGACATTGTCATGACTGTTTTTCGAAAAAATGTGATCACTGAGATAGCTGTATGGCTATTTGTTTTAAAAAATGAAAGTATAGAGAGCATGAAAGCTGTGGAACAGAACCTTCCGAAAAACAAAGCAAATGTATATAAAACTCCAGTCAAAGTTTATACACTCACAAATTACTTTTCTTTGCTTTAATTTAGCGTAGTAATTATGGCAAAAATTGCTAAGGTTTAATAAATGAGCTGTTATACAACATGGAACAAAAATATAACGTCACGAACATTTCTTTACAAAATATTGAGTAAACAACCTCTAATAGAGAATACTATAAGGCTACCTGCAAGAGTTAGTGCAACAACAGGATTCCATAAAATATCACGAAGCTTTTCTTCATCTTGAAAAATCCTTCCAACGGTTAAGCCAGATGCAGCGATCCCAATTAACACCCTTCCTAAAGAAATGGCATGATTTTCAACGCCTTTGATGCTTACTACACCTTGTTCACGAGGTTTAGTAGCAACGTCAACCTGTTGGACCAGCGATGACCTGCAAGTAGATTGTTAGCCTAAAGTATTTTAACTTACTAGTAGTGAGTAAAATATTTAAGCTGAAAACGTACAAAGCTTAATAAGAAGTTAGTATTTATAAATATTTGTTGCCATATATTTAACAATAATCTAACAAAAGAATGACGTTATTTTTTCCATTTCAAATCGTTAAAAAAGTGCAGAATATAGGTAACCTATTTATAGTAATATTGATTATTATATGATTAAATAATTGTTTTAAACAACCGAAATACAACTAAATATTGATAAATGTAACCAAGCACACCATTTTTGTATTTTTATCATGTCATAACGAACCTTTTAGAAAGCTACAAAACTGCATGTTGAGTTTAAGAAGTATACACCAGAATGTATTTTTTTACAATACCGTTTCATTCCAGCTCATAGGGCTGGCGGGCCAGCAGAGGATTAGGTCCCTCTTTTGGGCCGTGAGGTGCAATTGCAGAGTATAGTTATAGTGAAGTGTATTGAAAAGGATTCCAAAACGAAACCTGAAAGGTATCAAATGATGCTTGTCAAGTGTTGAAAACATTACTGAGTCAGGTGTGAAGGGAAGTAAGGTATCAGAAGAGGGAAACATTTTTAAGGAGGATAAATATATGGAGGCAAGTTTTCCAATGTGTTCTGAACCTGTTGAAGAGATGTGCATATGAAAGAAGTAGTGTTTGTGGAAAATGAACCGAAGAGTTTAGCAAGCAGGCAAGGATGACATTGGGTGTCTGAAAACATGAAGAAGAATATTGGGAATTGTGATGTGATCATACAGCTCTTGAGTTTGACTGGGTAGCTCAATGTTCCTTACAGAAAACATAGCGTTCAAGCACAATAAGTCGTTTATAAAAAGAAGAGGCAGATATTCACGAGGTATGACCATAGGTAATGCAAGAACGAATGAAGGCCTTATAAGTATAGAGGAGGAGAAGTGGATTCAAAATCCAAGTGGTTTATTTAGACAAGGGAGTAGGTTGAGTCATTGTTTGATCTTGAAGTTTATTGTTGCAATGTGGGCCTTCCGTGTTAGATGCTTATCGAAGATAGCATCCAAGTACTTAACTATATTAAATAGTCGTACGGGAACGTGTTATATTTAAACATTAAAGAGACCACGATTTTGGCATGGTCGATATTTCTTTTTGCTTGAACCAAACAGAATATCATTTTTCTTATGGGGATTGGGTAAGTCGCCAGTACCTGTATCAAAGAAGGAAGTGATTGATCACTGTTTGTAGAATTTTGGTTAAGGTGATCATGGTCGAATAGATAGCTATTGTGGCAGTATCTCCAGAATACTGCAAAATATATGCTAGATGCCGAGTCTATGGCATATTGGAAACATAGATAATATAGAGGAAAAACGACAAAATTAAACCTTGTAGAACATCTGCATAGAGGGTAAAGGGTCTTGAGAATGTGCTATCTAAAGGAATAAATTTATGATATGAACGTAGCTTGAAGATCAAAATCACGATGCCGATCTGAATAAAAAAGTCTTTTCAAATCGAAGATGATTATATACGAAGGTCGATTTTTATTAAAACTATTGGTAATGGTGTCTGAGAGGCAGAGAAGTGGATCCTGTGTAGAGAGAAGGGGGTGAAATACAGCCTGTGTATACAATAATAGGTTATGGTCTGCAACAACTTGATGTCTGACAAGTATACGCTCAAAGGTTTTACTAAATACACCAATGAAACTGATTGGATGGTAGGAGCTAATACTTGAAGGTAGCTTATTGAGTTTCAAGAAAAGTAGAATCATTGTGAACTTCCACATTTGGGTGTGAAATTCAATCCAAAGACGAATCATAAATAGCATTGTCAGAAGTAGAAAAAACTTCCCAGAAAGATGGTAATGTGCATAGGTAACTCCATCCAGACCTGGTTCAGTATTATGCTTATGCTATAGATGTTTATCAGCCACAGTTATTGGAACACCCAGGGTGTGGTTAAACTTTAGGGTAACTTCAGGTAGAGATATATCGGATAACGGGAAGACATTCACTGAAGTATTGAAGTCCAGGGGTGTTATTGTAGAGCTTGAACATTTGTCTCGAGAAATGCTGCAAAAAGATTGGCTTTGTCAAGGAACATTGTTGAAGCAGAATTATAATCTGTGATTAAGCAAGTGAGAGAGCATAACAGGCTAGTTAGTAATTGAAATCGACACCAGTATTGAGAGGAACTGAAAGAATTCGAAAGTTGACTACAGGCTTATTGCCACTTAAATCTTTTAATTGTGAGAATAGAATTACATGTTGTACTTTGAATATTCCTATGACTGTAGAGAATGACCGGCTCTCTGGATCGGGAATATTGATGAAATAGAGAAATGAGAGGTAAATTAATGATACTGCTCGATGGTGTGTTACGTAGAATTATGTTAAATAGAAGAAATTGTAGAAATATGCTGGGAGCTAGTTGAATTAAGTACAGATTCAAGTGTTTCAGCAAAAAAATTAAAAAGTTCATAATAGAAAAAATCTACAATTGTATCGTGTAGGGAATTAGTGATATGGGTCTGGTAAGAAGGCCAGTCTGCATCTTGGTAAATCAAATAATTCTTTTTGTCACTTTTCTCACATATGTATTACTAAATTAGAATTGGAAGAGATCGCTACCAATTGGAAGAACATGAACCTGTATTAGAGAAATCAAATATGTCGAGACCACTACAGCATCAAGAGTGGTACTGAATTCAAGACAAGTATGGGATTGAAGAGGTAAAAGAGATCTAGTAATATTGTCCAATGTGGAATGAAAATGGTGTAATTTAGAAGACATTCTACTATGATAATTAATATCAGGCATAACATAGTACATAATATAGTACATTTACAGGAAGAAGTCGTGAGCCAAAGGATCTTCACAATGAGTGTAGATAGTTGGGAAGATGATGACTCGAGAAGCAAAGTATGGAGTGTTGAGAGTAGTGCCCCAGCTGATATCTATGAAGTTAAACAGGATGAGTAGTCTAACTACCTACCACAACTCCATTCTTACCAACACCCACCATACTGTTACTACGATGTAAGATGTTATGGAGTAATCTTACAGTCTGAGATGGATTAAGAAGAAGGCAGTTAATGGAGTTGGCAGATAAAAGGGATTCCAAGAGTGGCTTATTTGTTAATAATGAACAAATATTGAAGAAAATGCAACAGTTTGTCTCTAATCGACCTGCTCACCCTGGTTCCCATAAAAGCCTGAAATGAAAAAAGAGTATTCAATCAAAAATACGTATCCTACATAAGTTTGTTTGTTTTTGAATTTCGCACAAAGGTACACGAAGGCTATTTGCACTAGCCGTCCCTAATTTAGCAGTGAAAGATTAGAGGGAAGGTATCACCACCCACCACCAACTCTTGGACTACTGTTTTACCAAAGAATAATGGGATTCACCGCATATTATAACGCCTCTACGGCTGAAAGGACGAGCATGTTTGGTTCGACGGGGATTTGAACCCGTGATCCTCAGATTGTGAGTTGAGCGCCCTAATCACCTGGCCATGCCGGGCCTACATATGAAGTTCAAAAACAGAATTAGCTTACTTTTGTCCAGGACAACTGCACATTGATATGGATTAAAACTCGGCATAGCAGTGGCTATAAAATGTTGAATGTCTTTTATGGAAGGAGACTAAGTGACAGAATTATTAGGTAGAGTTTCTGGGGTTATGGCACTAAGAGGATCAACGGTAGTAGGGTCATCAGCTTTTGGCAAAGGTTTCCCTGAACATCGATAAGAATAGATAGGATGATCCCCCTGATTGGTGTTACAAAAAGATGCAGAATCCACTTTATCACACGATCAAGCAGAATGAGGGCCTTTACAATGTGGAGAAACAGGCTTATTAGGACATTTAATAGTAGAATAGCATTGTAGATGACACATTGTTCACAATGAAGTGGTTATAGAAACTGTGCCCTAGAAGTCTTAACTCAATGTTGCTGTTTGTAAATATATGCACCATGCTGAAGAAAATGATCAACAACATCACATCTCGGTGAGAATCCGGATATTTTATCTTTTGGATTCTGCGAATTTTCTATTCAAATCATTTAATAGTCATGTCATCTGCTGACAGTTTGGAAAGAACTACACCATGGATCATGCAGGAAAGTAGTAGAATAAGACAAGGTGGAGGCTGCTGCTGTAAGTCATTGTGCATTTGGAATGTGGCTGAAGAAGTTGATAGGCTAACACATGGCTGTAAGATGATGGAGAAGTAACAAGAGAATTTCATTCGGTATCAAGGAGAGTAACAACTAGAAAACGAAATGAAGGAGTAGCATAGGAGTTTGCAAAATGTGCAGAGAAGAATCATTAGTGGAAGATGCAGAAGTACCATCTTTGACAGATAAGAGTGTCTCTGGCGGAGAGGTTAATGTAGCTGGAACAGACGTTTCGTGCTCTTCTTGTGATCTAGAATATGGTTTGACAGCTCAGAGACACTACAACATTCTTCACAATAGGATGCAGATGATGATGCATCATTGCAGTAGAAATTGGTCTAAAGAAGGAATTCCAGATGCATAAATACAATATCAGGAAATATTTTTAAACTAAAGAACTAGCGAAATCTATTTCACTAAGAGAACTTCACGTTGTTTAAACACTAATGCTAATAAATGTCTAAAGCAAAACATATTACTTGGAAAAATTCATACCATTCAATGAATCTCTCTCTTTCCAAGTCAAACATACATAAAGTATTTCGAGTCTTACGTGATACTGTTTCATGACTGTCAAAAGTGATCTACTGATAATTATGATTTCTGACATATTTTTTGGTACCACGTACAAAATTAAGCTACTCATATGTAAACAAAAAATGAAGTTTATTGGGATTTTTCATGAAATAGTTAAACCCAAACTAGAAGATAGCTTATCAAGTTGGAACTATACATTTATTTTTTGAAAGTATAGTACTTTTTTGCTTTAAATACAGGTCTATAATTTACTTGTCTTCTTGCTTAA